TCTGTTTTGGCAACAACAGCGGTGTTAGTTCTACTGTGCATCTGTTGGTAACAAATGTGTTCCCTTACGCCAAAATTGCATTTAAATTATTCACATAGTTGTTTCCTAAGCAAAGTTACGTACAGATAGTGCACAACAAGCAACTGTACACACCCAAGAATTTGGGGAATTGACCCTGAAAGGAAAAAAGAGTTCAAAGCTATTATTGGAAATAAAATTGTATATTACTTTTTAGGTAAAACTTACAGAAAAGTAACATGAAGTTTGGAAACAGCATTGTAGTGCTGCTAAAAGAAAAGGATTAAACTAGAGAAAAAAATTCAAAATTTAATTTTGATAAGTCCGCTTGTGTCACCACAATTACAGATTATTGCGTTTTGGTATTGTTACGTAAAAGAAAAATAAGTAAATAAGATACATTTGAATATAAGTATAATACAATATGGTTTTTATTTTTGAGTTTATTGATTATAGTTTAGATCACTTAAAGAGCATGCTCATTGTAGGGAATTTGTACCTGTACATGATATGTCTTTTATTTTTTTGATGTATTTAGTGCAGAGTCTACAAGGTCTCACTATACAGCTCAGACTCATAGTGATCCTCCTGCTTTCAGCCTTCCAAGCACTGGGATTACAGGCATGTACTACCATGCCCAGTCTCAGTTGCCATCTCAGCACACCCCAGGGCAGAGCCTGCACAACACAATGAGGATCGAACCCCTGGCCCCTGCATCTGCCTAAGCAGGCACTTTATTCTGCTGAGCTATCTGGCCAGCCCTGTGCATGATATATCTTGATTCTTCTTTTTTTCCCCCATTCTCCCTTCCACCCTTCAACTATTATTCCCTTCCTTATCTGCAAAAGCTTTGTTTCCATTTTTTCTTCTTTTCTTGTTTTTTTCTTTTCTCTTCTTTCCTTAATTCCTCCCTTCCTTCCTTGCTCCTTCCCACTCCCTAGTTCTCCACTTATTTGAACATATTTTTCATTATTGTGCAACATCTATTATATATTTGGTCCTTGTCAACACTTTCAAATTCTCACACCAGAGAAATGGCATGGTATTTACACGTGTGTCTGATTTATATCACTTAAGAATATTGTCTCAAGGGACAGCCATTTACCTATTAATGCTCCAAGTTTATGCTTTTTGTGGCTGAAAAGTACTTCATGGTATATAAAAAAACACCAACATCTTTGTCCATTCACCAGTTGATGGACATTTTGGCCATTTCCAAGATTTAGACACTACCGTAACTGTAAACATAGATGTGCATTTGTTGCTGTGGTACATGCTCTTAAATCCTTTGAGAAGATACCAAGAAAGGGAATAACTAGGTCAGATGAAACATCTAGTTTTAGTTTTTGTGGAATCTCAACACTTCTTTCCACTGATTGCACCAGTCTGCACTCCCGCCAACAACAGAGAAGGGTTAGTTTTCCCCCAGAGCCCTTCCAGCATTTGTTATTGATTGATTTCTTGATAATTGCCATTCTTTCTGGAGTGAGATAGAATCTCAGCATTATTTTAATTTGCATCTCTTGAATGACCAGTGATAGCAAACATTTTTTTTTTCATATTTTTTTTGCTATTTGTACTTCTTCATCTGGGAATTGTCCACTCATTTGATATGCTCATTTTAGATTGGGTCTTTAAATTTGAGAGGGCTGATTCCTTTTTAAACTTATTTTTATGTTCTAAATATTAGTCCTTTGTCTGAGGAATAGCTAGAAAATTTTTTCACACTCTGTGGGTTGTCTCTTTTTCGCTTTGTTAAGGATTTCTTATGCTGTGCAAAAGCTTTCAAGAAGTTGAGATCTCAGTTATTGATTCTTTTCAATGTTTCCATGCAGTTGGAGTTTTGCTCATAAGGTCTTTGCATTTGCTTATGTCTTCAAGAGTTCTACATATTCCCTCTTGCAATAGATTTCATATTTCTGCTTTAATATTTAGGTCTTCAATCCAGTTTGATTTTACTTCAGTGCATGGTGAGACAAGGGTCTCATTTTAATCTCTGGCGTATGGAAAGCCAGTTTTTCCAGCACCATTTGTTAAAGAGGTTGTCTGTGGTCCAGTGAAGTTGTTTAGCTATTTCATTGAAGAGAAGGTGGCTGATTGTGTTTGGAGTTCTTTTGCTGTCATCTAATCTAGTTTATTGATCGTCGGGTATGTTTTTATGCCAGGAATATGCTGTTCTTATTATTTAAACATTACCTAAAATGTAGAATTGTAGAATAATTTTAAGTCACAGATTGTGATGGCATTGTTTTACTTCTGTTGCCTAGAATTGTTTTTGCGATTTTAGGTCTACTTGTCCAAATGAAGTTTAGGGTTTTTTTTTTCTGACTCAGTGTTGAATGCTGTCAGGATTTTGACAGGGATTATATTAAATCTTATAACAAATTTGGAAATATGGCCATTTTCACTCTGTCAGTTCTTTTTACCTAAGAGCAAGAGGTATCTTTCCATTTCTGGTATACTCGTTGACCTCTTTTTTTCAAAATACTGTAGTATTCATTAGAGATCTTTTACTTTCTGTGTTAGATCAATTACTAAATATTTCATTGTTTTCAACAGTACTATGAAAGGTATGGTTTCCCTAATTTTTCTTTCAGTGAGTTATTTGTGAATAGGAATTCTGTTAATTTTGGCGTGTTGACTATGTATCTAGCTAATGATGATGATTTTTTATTTTTATTTATTTTATTTTTTCTGTGTTTTGGGGGAGGGGTCTACAGAGTGTTCAGGGTCTCACTACTAGATCGGGCTTGTCATGATCTGCCTGTGTTTGCCTCCCAAGAGCTGGGATTACAGGTGTCTGAATTGCAACTAAGACAGACAACCTTTTTAATAAATGGTGCTGGAAAAATTGGCTTTCCATATGCCAAAGACTAAAATGAGACCCTTGTCTCACCGTGCACTGAAGTAAAATCAAACTGGGTTGAAGACCAAAATATTAAAGCAGAAATATTAAATCTGTTAGAAGAGGGAATAGATAGAACTCTTGAAGACATAAGAGATGTCTTCACTCCCAGGGAGCACCTGTTTGCAGGTGCTTTAATTTGCTGAACTATTTGGCCAGCCCTGTGAATTTCATAATTAAATTTACAAACCCCTTTTAGTGGAGTTAGGGAGATCTTCTATGTAGAGTATTATGTTAGCAACAAATAATGATAATTAAATTATTCCTTTCCTATCCTTCTTGCTTTTATTTCATTCTGCTGCATTGCTCTGGTTAGTAGTTCCAGAACCATATTGAATAGCAATGGTGATCGTGGACAGCCTTGTCTTGTTCCTAATTTTAGAGGGCAAATCAGATTGACCATTTATGATATGAAGCTAGCTGTTGGTCTGTTAGAGATAGCTTTTATCAGATTGAGTTAAAGACCAAGTGTTCCAATTTTATGTAGGGTTTTTATCAAGAATGGGGATTGGACTTTGTTAAATGCCTTCTCTATGTCTATTGAGATGACCATGTGGTTTTTGTCTTTGGTTCTGTTGGTATGATGTATTGCATTTATTGTTTTTTTTTGTGTTGTACTATTTATGATTCCCTGGAATGAATCCTACTTGGGTATGGTGTATAACTGTCATGATGATTTGCTAAACTTTGTTTTCCAGTAACTTATTGAGGATTTTGTATCTATGTTCATTAGGAAGAATAGTCTTGGGCTGGGGAGATAGCTCAGTAGAATAAGGATTTGCCTGGCAAGCTCAAGGTCCTGAGTTCAATCCCCAGTACCACAATCAATCAATCAATCAATAGATCAATAAATAAATAAATAAAATTAAAAAGGAAGAATGGCCTGTAATTCTCCTTTCTGGTTGTATCTTTCTCTGCTTGTAATATTCCAGAAATATTTGTTTCCAGGAATGACTTTAAAAGTGTTGCTTCTCTTTCAATTTCATTATAGAGTTTGTGGAACAGTGGCACTAGAATCTACTGTAAATTTCTTATAGAATTCAGCAGTAAAACCTTTAGCACCAGGGTCTTTCTTTGTTGGTAGATTTTGAATTATATCTTTAATTTAATTGACCAATAGTGGGTTATTCAGAATGTTATTGGGTTATTTGGATTGTTTATGTCTTCTACATTAAGCTGTGATCCTATGTGTCCAGGAATCCATTTCTTCTGTGTTTTCCATCTTGTTTGAGTATAGGTCCTTCAAATATGATTATCTTCTGTTTACCGGCAGGTTCTATTGTGGTTTCACTTTTATCATTCTTAATTGCATGGACTTGAGTCTTTTCTTTTTTGCATAGGTTTGGTAGCAGTTTTTCAATTTTATTTCATCTTTCAGGTAACCAACTCTTCTATTCATTAATATTTATAGTTTTCTCCCTTTTATGAGCCATTGGCTTAATGTCTTTTCTAGAAGTTTAAGGTTCAACATTAGGTTAACTATTTCATCTTGCTTTTTTTCAAATATATAATTTCAGTACTATAAATGTCCCTTGTAGGACTGCTTTCATTGTGTCCCATAAAGTTTAATATGATATATCAGCATTGTCAGTTTATTGTAGAAGTTGTCTAATTTTTTCTTTATCTGTGACTCATTGGTTGTCCAGGGGGTAATATTTAATTTCCATGTGTTCATGGAGTTTTTGTGGTTTCTTTTGCCAGTGATTTCCTATTTCATTGGGCTATTATCTGATAGTGTGCATGAGATAATTTCAATTCTTTCCATATACTTAAGCATGTTGTAAGAGTCATGTAGGGTCTATTTTGAAGAACATCTGGTGTGCAGGTGAGAGAATATGTATTTTTTTCTCATTAAACTTTTTTTTAATGGGACTCAATATTCTGTGACAGATTTTTAGTCAAGTTGTTTCCATTAAAAAGTATTTATTTTAAAAACTAATAACTTAAAAACTGCCAGACCAAAACAAAAATGGTCCACAAAGCATTCTCTCTTCCTTCTGAAGGTTTTGTGGTGCATTGTTATCATTAACCAGTCTTTCACTATTAAACTTAAATGGCCAGTTGGGAGAAAAAGTCCTCAGACCAGTCTTCCACCACTGATTAAGACTGGAGTGGCAGGTGTTAAGGATAATGTCCATTTAGCCTTCTGAGCTTTCTTGGCAGACTTGGTGACCTTGCCAGCTCCAGCAGCCTTCTTGTCCACAGCTTGGACACCCACAGCAACTGTCTGTCTCATATTACAAACAACAAAACGACCCAGAGGTGGGTAGTCAGAGAAGCTCTTGACACACATGGGCTTGCCTGGAACCATGTCAACAATGGCAGCATCACCAGATTTCAAAAATTTGGGACCATCTTCCAATTTATTACCAGACCAATGATCAATCTTTTCTTTCAGCTCAACAAAACTGAAAGCAATGTGAGCTGTGTGAAAATCTAGTACAGGGGCATAGCTAGCACTGAGCTGGCCGGGATGGTTCAGGATAATCACCTGAGCAGTGAAACCAGCTGCTTCCATTGGTGGGTCATTTTTGCTGTCACCGGCCACATTGCCACACCGGACATCTTTGACAGACATGTTCTTGACATTGAAGCCCACACTGTTCCCAAGAAGAGCTTCACTCAAAGCTTCATGGTGCATTTCAACAGACTTAACTTCAGTTGTGACATTGACTGGAACAAAGATGACCACCATGCCGGGTTTGAGAACACCAGTCTCCACTTGGCCCACAGGGACAGTGCCCTGTGGACATCCTGGAGGGCTAGCCGCAAAGGTTTGTCAATTGGGTGAGTGGGTGGGAGGATGCAATCCAAAGCTTCAAGTAGTGTGGTTCCACTGACATTGCCGTCTTTATAAGTGACCTTCCATCCTTGGAACCAAGGCATGTTAGCACTTGGCTCCAGCATGTTGTCACCATTCCAACCAGAAACTGGCACAAAAGCTACGGTGTCAGGGTTGTAGCTGATTTTCTTAATGTAGGTGCTGACTTCCTTAACAATTTCCTCATATCTCTTCTGGCTGTAGGGTGGCTCTGTGGAATCCATTTTGTTACACCAACAATTAGTTGTTTCACACCCAGTGTGTAAGCCAGAAGGGCATGCTCACAGGTCTGCTTGTTTTTGGAGATACCAGCTTTGAATTCACCAACACCAGCAGCAACAATCAGGAGAGCACAGTCAGTCTGAGATGTGCCTGTATTCATGTTTTTGATGAAGTCTCTGTGTCCAGGGGCATCAAAGATGGTCACATAGTACTTGCTGATCTCAAATTTCTGCAGGGAGATGTCAGTGGTGATATCACGTTCACGCTCAGCTTTCAGCTTGGCCAAGACCCAGGCATGCTTGAAGGAACACTTATCCATCTCAGCAGCCTCCTTCTCAATTTTTTTCAATGGTTATTTTGTCAATGCCACTGCATTTGTAGATCAGATGGCCGGTGTCCATGTGTCCAACGATGACGATATTAATATGAGTCTTTTCCTTTCCCATGTTGGCTTTTTTGTTGTTGTTGTTGGCTTTGATTTAGTGGTGGTTTTCTCTACACCTATGCTCTCATGGCAAACCCATTGCAAAAAGGAGAGAACGTGTATTCTGATGTAGAGTGAAACACTCTGTACACATCTACTAAGTCTGTTTCTTTGTTTCAGTTCTGATATTCTTTTGTCGATTTTTTTTGTCTGTTTGTAACAGTGGGGTATTAAATTATCCCACTATTATTATTGCATTAGTGTTTATTGAATAGAGTGATCTTGCTGTGTGTGTGTGTGTGTGTGTGTGTGTGTGTGTGTGTGTGTGTTGGGATATTTGGTATTTAAGAGGGATAGGGGTGAAAATGGAGAGATAAGTGAAGAGAATTTTTTTTTTTTTTTTTCAGAACCAGTGATTGAACTCAGGCCCTTGTGCTTGCCAGGGAAGCGCTTATTCCACTGAGACATCTCCTCGGCCTGAGAAATATTTTTAGAATCAAGGCTGAAGGGTGGAGGAGGATCACGCAAGCTTTGTGAAACTAGAGAAGAAGACAAGAAAGAAAGAACAAAAGAGAAAATAAAACAACATCAAAACAAGAAAGACTAGAGACAATGTTCATTCATATGAAAATATCAAAAAATCAAGAAAGAATTGAGGAAGGAGAGAACAACCATGAACAAAACAAAGCCGCACTGTGTGGCTTGTGTTTGCTGTGCTACTGTAGCCCATAAATACTTTGGGAATGTCCCAGTATGGAGGCTCCTGCTTTGCATGCAGGAGAGGTCCCATAGGCAGTCCCAGGTTTTACTTCACCATTTATAAAGACTCTTGCCTTTCTTTTGTTTGATCTCCACACCTCTCATTTTGGCATCAGCATTTATGTCCCTCTCTTGCTGCCAATTACCTATGCTCCCAATTGATTTTCTCTAAGTAGCTCCCTCATGGCTGCTCCTCTATGTAGCCATGTTCTATTTCCTCTATTACAAGTAGAATTTTTAAAAGAACTTTGAACATGCCTTCCTGACATGAACTAAAGTGAAATGAAAACTTTTTTTACCAAGGATGAAAATCCCAGCAGGATCTAACCTTTGCTCTTTACCAAGCTTCCCATCGCATCTCACACTCCTTCCTCCCTTATTCCACTGTGTAGCTTGCGTCACAGCCTCTGCTCTTGCTAGGATGTGTCACACACCTGCCCATTTCATGGCCTTTGTCACTCACTGTATTTTCCTCCTGAAACAATTTCACCCACAATTTTTGCATGACCAGCTCCTTTATGACCATCTGGTCTCTCCTGAGCTGTTACTATTTTTGTTACATCTCCTCTGACATCACTATTTTAAAAGCACCTTTCCTATTGGCTTCTATCCCATTTCTCTACTTGATATTTTTCATCACAGTCGATCCCACTGAACCCACTATTTATATTTTTGTCTACTCTACTTTGATGTAAGCACCATGAAGCCATGGATTCTGACTCCCCACTGTCACTCTCATGCCTGGAATAATGTTTGGCAAATCTCCACAGAGATTTGTTGTATGAGTGAATGAAAGGTAAGTGGTGATATAGCTGTATTAATCTTTTAAGACCTATATCCTTAGAACTCCCTTAAAATAACGTTCATAAAAAAGATATATTCTTTAGTCATGAGAACATAAAGAACACAAGAGTAAAGACATATTTATCCATCTATATCATCTGGAAGCACTATAACAGAAACAGAGTAGATTTAAAACGGTGTACAGTTAAATGAAAATTAACTAAGGTTGGACACATACAACTATGTGACTGAATACATTTGAAGTATTTGACATATGATAGCATTATTTCTTCATTAGTGGGTTTTACAATGTGTGTCAAACTTAGAACCTAATCCTGCTAGGGATGGCCAAATAGCTCAGCAGATTAAAGCACCTGCAAGCAGGTGCAGGGGATGGGAGTTTGATCCCCTGTGCCTGCCACGCTGGCCCCGCCCCCGGGGTGCTCTGAGAAGGTGATTGAGACTGGGCATGGTGTCACACACCTGTAATCCCAGCACTTGGGAGGCTGTA